AAGTCATGGACTGGGAGAAAATATTTGCAAAATATTTATCTGATAAAGGTCTAGTATACAAAATATATTTTATTTATTTTTTTTTAATTTTTTTCAATGTTTATTTATTTTGAAGGAGAGAGAGACAGAGTGTGAGTGAGGGAGGGGCAGAGAGAGAGACATAGAATCTGAAGCAGGCCCCAGGCTCCAAGCTGTCAGCATAGAGCCCAACATGGGGCTCGAACTCACAAACTGCGAGATCATGACCTGAGCTGAAGTCGGATGCTCAACCAACTGAGCCACCCAGGCACCCCTACAAAATATATTTTAAAAACCACTTAAATTTCAACAAAAAGAGAACAACCTAATTTAAAAATGGGCAAGAGATCATCTGGGTTGGCTCAGTCGGTTAAGCTTCTGACTTTGACTCACATCATCATCTCACAGCTCATGGGTTCGAGCTCCACATCAGGCTCTGTGCTGACAGCTCAGAGCCTGAAGCCTGCTTCAGATTGTCTCCCTCTCTCTTTCTGCCTCTACCCTACTTGTGCCCTCTCTCAAAAATAAATAAACATTGAAAAAAAAAGTGGGCAAGAGATCTGGACATCTCCTCAAAAAAGATATACAGATGACAAATAAACTTATAAAAATATGAATGTTATATGACTTTCGGGAACTGCAATTTAAAACAATGTGATACCACTACAGATTAGAATGGCCAAAATTTAAAACACAGATACCACCAAATTCTGGTGAGGACATGAACAAAAAGAACTCTCATTCACTGCTGCAAAATGGTACAGTCACTTTGTAAGACAGTAAGGCAGTTTCTCACAAAACTAAACATACTCTTACCCTATGATCCAGCTATTATGTTCCTTGGTATTTACGAAAATGAGCTGAAAACTTCTGCCACACAAATGTGGACACAAATGTTTATAGCAGCTTTTTCGGATAATTACCAAAACCCAGAAGAAATTAAGATGACTTTTAAGTTTATTTATTGAGAGAAAGCAAGTGTGGGTGGGGGAGGGATAGAGGGAGACAGACAGAATCCCAAGCAGGCTCTGCGCTGTCAGCACAGAGCCCAACACAGGGCTCCATCCCATGAACCGTGAGGCCACAACCTATTCCGAAATCAACAGACAGACACTTACCGCCTGAGGCACCCAGGCACCCCAAGTTGACCTTCAGTAGGTGAAACAGTAAACAAACTGGTACATCTAGACAATGGAATAGTATTCAATAATAAAAAGAAATGAGCTATCATGCTATGAAATGACATGGAGTAACCCTAAACACCTACTGCTAAGTGAAAAATCCAATCTGTAAAGGCCACATCCTCCATGGTTCCAACTATATGACATTCTGAAAAAGGCAAAACTATGGGGATGGTAAAAATACCAGTGATTGTAAGGGATTTGGGGAAAGGGAGGAAATGAACAGTGGAGCACAAGGTGTTTTCAGAAAATATTCTGATAATAGCATAATAGATTTTTGTACTTGTCAAAACCCAGTCTATGCGTGCACTCCTGCACTCTCTACTGCACAACACAAAGAATGAACCCTAATGTAAACTAGGGACTTTATGTAGTAAAAGTAGATCAACATTGGCTCATCAATTTAATGAACATACCATACTAATGCAGATGTTAATAATAGAGGAAGCTGTTGGGGGGGGGGGCAAGGAGGGCAAGGGGCTATATGGGAATTCTTTGTACTTTCTGCTCAATTTCACTGTGAATCTAAAACTCCTTGAAAAAATAATGTTTTTTCTTAAGTGCAAAGGCTTTCAATAGGCATTTCTTCAAAGAATATATAAATATCCACAAGTAAGGACATGAAAAGATAGATACTCAACTTTAATAGCCATTAGGGAATTACAGATCGAAACCACACTGAGACAGCACTTCACAACCACTAGGATGGTTATAATCAATACGAGGGACAAAAACAAGAGAGAGATTGGATTCCATCATGCACCACTAGTAGAAACATGGTATGGTGCAGGTGCTATGGAAAACAGTGTGGCAATTCATCAAACAGTTAAACGGAGTTATCATATGACCTAACAATTCCACTTTTAGGTATATGCAAGAGAGAGGGGAACGTAGGTCAACAAAAATTTGTTCACAACAGCATATTCATAACAGCCAGAGTAGAAACAACCCAAATATCCACCAACTGATGAATGGATAAAAAATGGTGTATCCATTCAACAAACCATTATTCCACCATAAAAAGGAATGGCACAACATAGCTGAACCTTGAAAATATGCTAAATGTGGGGCGCCTGGGTGGCGCAGTCGGTTAAGCATCCGACTTCAGCCAGGTCACTATCTCGCGGTCCGTGAGTTCGAGCCCCGCGTCGGGCTCTGGGCTGATGGCTCAGAGCCTGGAGCCTGTTTCCGATTCTGTGTCTCCCTCTCTCTCTGCCCCTCCCCCGTTCATGCTCTGTCTCTCTCTGTCCCAAAAATAAATAAACGTTGAAAAAAAAAATTTTTTAAAAAAAGAAAAAAAAAAGAAAATATGCTAAATGAAAGAAGTCAGATTTAATTTATATGGAATGACCAGAATAGACAAATATATAGTAGAAAGATTAGTGGTTGTCAGGGGGCTATGGGGAAATGTGAATGAAAAGTGACTGCTAGTGGGTATGGGGCTTCTTTTGGAAAAGATTCTGGAATTAGGCAGGAGTGATAGTTGTACAACCTTGTGATATACTCAAAACCCCTGAATTAAAAAAAAATATACAAAAGGATATCTAGGCAGTTTTACTTCCTTTTATCCCCTTTATTCATTGTATAATTAAATAAGGTTGATAATTTTTTTCAGAGTATGTGATGTGCTTTACAATTTACTGATCCATTTACACAAATGGTCCATTTGTGGAAATGATCCATTTACACAAATGGGTGTTAAATTTAGTTTCAGGGGAGAAAATAATTTAGCAAGGAATATCTGGAGCATTAATTTACTCACCTCTCACTAGGCTATAACCTCTTGAGAAATGGTATAGTCACACAATGATTACTTAGGGAAATGGTACCCATTACTTTAGGAATAAATGGGAAGTCCTCACAGGGGACAGTGCATCATACTGCAACATTTAAGCAAAAGGGGGCAAGAGAAGTATTTGGGTAAACCTGTAACTGGGAGTCGATTTTTCAAAAGCTCAGAAGTATCTTGACAGATAACTAAAACATCTTCCTGGGTCAAAAACTAGGGTTTTCCCCTCAAAAACAAACAAAACAAAACTAAGAGCCTAGGAAAGTCTGGAATAACAAAGGAAGACAGATTGAACTAAAAATCATGTGCCTGTTCCAGTTGCCCTCAGAGCTGCCTCTCCTTGGGTGAGTGGACTGGGTGTCAGCCTCTGTTTGGGACATAATTCAACTGTCAAGTACATATTCAGAAATTTTCAGAGGCCAATAAACAATAAACAAATGGACATACTTTTTTTTTAAGAATAAAACTGTCACATGGTCAAAAACTAAAACCACACAGAAAGATGTAAAATGGAAAGTAAAATTCCCAGACTCCCCAGCTCTCCTTCCTAGATGTGATCCTGGTTAAGTTTTGTACGTAAATTATCTTTTTTTTTTTTTTGTGGGGGTGGGGGGCAGGGGGCGGACAGATGCCTTTTATTGGTCTAACCAGCATAACTAACAGGTTTGGGCAGAGCTCCCCTATCTGTCCTGGCTCCCATCTTGCCTCTCCTGGGAGTTCGTGACTCACCCACAGGGGAGAAGAGTATCCTGGGCAAGGGTGGCAGGCAAAGCCAGGATCGGAAAGGGGATCAGGGTGAAGTAGAAAGCATAGGGCCACCAGATCATTCAAATAAGAAGTCCATCAGGGCAGAAGAGCGGATGTTTCCCCACACGAGCCCCTCTGCCCTGGCGAGGAATGGAAGGGGGCAGGAAGCTTCCACTAGAGGTTTCCTACTGTGCCCTTCGTGCCATCAGCATCTCCCGGATGTTGTCCTCAGCTTCCTTCACACTCCGCTCCAGGTAGGATTTTTTCTGTCCCAATTCTTTAATTTTTTCTTCTGCTATTTTCTGTTTCTCTAGCAGTTGATTGTGAATTACCTCCCTGGACTGAAGAATAAACATTCTTTCTACACCTTCATACATGTTAGTCTCCTCTATCAAAGTCATAATCTCTGTACCTGTAAGATGTGCATGCTTTTTCGTTCTGTCTAGCTGTTCAATCTGTATGTCTGCAAGCCTCACCTGCTGAGTGTCAATAACTTTGGCTTGAAGCTCTGTGAAGGCCTTCTTCAATTCCAGATCCACAGGAGCCACCATCGTGGTCCAGTCCGTAAATTATCTTAATTCTTAAATGTTGTTAATGTGACAGGAATATTATACAGAATACGTTTCCTATAAAGGTTAAGCCTTCCAGAGCCTGCCTGGCTTTATCAAAAACTGAGGTTAAATTCAGGCCCCAAATACAGAAATGTAAAATTTTCCTGCAATCTAAAATAGAATTTTGGGGCACCTGGGTGGCGCAGTCGGTTAAGCGTCCCACTTCAGCCAGGTCACGATCTCGCGGTCCGTGAGTTCGAGCCCCGCGTCGGGCTCTGGGCTGATGGCTCAGAGCCTGGAGCCTGTTTCCGATTCTGTGTCTCCCTCTCTCTCTGCCCCTCCCCCGTTCATGCTCTGTCTCTCTCTGTCCCAAAAATAAATAAACGTTAAAAATAAAAAAATTTTTTTTTAAATAAAATAAAATAAAATAAAATAGAATTTAGACCTAAACAGATTTTTTTTAACAAAAAAATCACACATTTTAGCTTTCAAGTCAGATTTCACTTTCTATCCATGGCAAAACAAACTCTTAAGAGATTTATAAAAATACCAAAAATTGGTGGTCACTTGGAAACAATTTATTATTAATTAGGTTAATCCATTAAAAAAATACATCAAACACACTCACAGTTAAAATGAAACAGTGGCATAGGTACCCATGTGATGCCTTGACAAGAAAAATCAACAATTCCTGGTAAAATTCCCAATACAGACAAGAGACTTCAATATAAATGCCCTGTGAATTCCAGTTTTGCCTGTAAACACATCTCAGGTGATCCTCAGATGATAAGGTTAAGAAAGACATGAGTGCAACTGGCAGGGGTGGTAGGGAGGTTGAAATAACCTGGAAATTGCAAGGGGGTGGGAAGTCATCCAGTTAACAGCAGCACTGAAAATATGTAATCTCACAACAAAATGAGTACCAATTTGGAAAATTAGTGTCTGTGGGCATTTTCTTCCCCAAGTCAGGAGCAGAGCGAATGTGGAAAATTAATTTTCAGCAACATTCCTAGGATTAGGGCAACCACACATCTGGAGCTACTGAACTCTCCAAAGCCTCAGTATCAATAAGTTCTTCACATGGTAATTATCCTAATATTTTAAATTAAAAAACTGATACACCCTTGCAACAGCTAACAAATTCAAATTCTTAGGAACCAACCTCCGGTTTCTCCGTATTTTATCCATGAAGAACTATATAACTGACCCCTTTCAAAAGATGCAGACAATTTGCCCATCATGCAAATGAAGTTCACCCGGACTTGACACAAAGGTGTCTACTCAGGGCTCCTGTCTCAGGGCAGGAAACCGAAGGTCATTAGAAAGGCGGCCAATGCTGTTCTTCTGCTGAGCTGTCATTCAGTCTGGAGTGCTGCTTTTCAACTGGAATGGGCCAGTCGGTACCCTAACATTTAAGACTGAATAGTGTGAGCTGGTAAACACCACCCCTGCCAGCAAAGGAAACAAGCCTTCAGACCCGATCAAGGGTTGGCCAGGCTGTTCTCTTATCTCCAAAGTTCTCGAGGAAAAGATTCCTCTGAGGTAAACCAAATTCAGTGGCTCATTTTAACCTAAAGCAACTATCTGCTGCTCTGGGAGTTTCTAGTCATCTAACGGGATTCTCTTAACTCTGCTCTCATCCCAACAGTGCTCAGAGCCCCTGCTTGGGAAGCTCCTAGGGAAGCAGATGAAACTAATTAGGACACAGCCCATCAAAGGCAACACAAGTACTTTACCAGCTGTGTATGGGGGCCTTCCCACAACTGTGGCAAAGGCCACAGAAGAAATATTTTGACCACAGAGGGTTCCACAGTCATTGTCCTCTTTGGCTCTGTCCTCCTCTCTTTAGCTCTCTGCCCTGACAACCTCAGCCTGTCTTCACCATGTTTCATCTCCCAGAGGCACAAGTACTTCTTTTTAGCTTATTTTTGTGATTTATCCAACTAACCATGAAATCAGGCCTGCTGGGATAGAGGGTACAACCAAATGAACAATCCTCTGAATGTCTGGGAAATGGCTGCTGGGCCTTTCAGCTTCATGAGGTGGTTGGGCCAGCTGTGCTCCTCTATGCTGGGTCCTCTTCATCCATTGTCACGTCATCCGTATTTTTTTTCTGTTCAGCCTCTGGCCCTGCAGGCAGAATGCTTGTGACGGTGTGGAGGAGGGCTTCGATCTGCTCCTCCGTGAGCCGTTCTTCACTCTCTTCTACTATCTGCAGAAGAAAAGAAAACCTCCAGGGGTTATTTATGGAGGAGCTGCACAGGCGGGGTCCACTCCTGCCTTCCTCCACCCATGCTGTTCCCAGTCTGCTGGCCTCTGGCACACACAGCTCTAGGCCTGGCTCCTGAGCCCCCCTCAGGTCTCCAGGTCCTCTCCATCCTGGCTCCAACAGAGGGGAGAAGCCAGATCCAATTCCCATGTGATGGCTCAAAATGGGTCAATGTAAAAAGTAAGTTGCAGGTTAGCATTTTTCTTCAAAGAAACAGAAACCCTAACAGTTCTCTACCCATCCACATGCACACATGAATATGTTGTATGTGCAAAGAAAACACACCCCTGGGGAGTGAAATGGCACTTTATATACTTTTGTATTTCACAATAAGCACAGCTGTGACTTATGAATTGTATCAACAACTCATTTGATGATTGCCCACTGTGTGCCAAATGGTTTATCTATTTTTTCTCATCCCCACTCCCACCACCACTAACAGCTCTTTAGGGAGCTCATGTGCCTGGCGCTGCACATAGCACTTCATATCTGTTATTTCTTTCAGCCTTCACAACAATATGGCAAAGGGCAGAACGAGAGCCCCATGCTGGGCCTCCCCAACACGAACACCTACAATCAATCAAGCACACACCACGTGGTCCTGGTCATCTCCTGGAATGTGGAACAACAGTCTGATGAGTGACGGCTGGGAAACAATCCCCCACTGCTCCACTAAAGGTCCACTTAAAGCCCAGTTTGACGTGTCCCGGAAATCTACACACAGATGGTCCACAATTCTGAGCCAGTTTTATTAGCCTCCCCTCTAGTTCTCAATATATTAATGAATGATATTAATGAATACAAACATAGTCAACAGTGTTTTTAACAGCAATACATAGGCAGTCTTAACCATGTTCACATAGTGGCACTGTCAATCACAAACAGCTAAAGGTGTCCAGGGTTCTGTTCTGTGGCATTTCCCCACAGCAATCTCTGAAATTTGGCAACTAAGACCAAGAGGAATTCAAGAAAGAAATCCTAGCAGATTTAAGTAAAGCAAGATGACCGGCAGGGCTTACAATCCTGAAAAGGATTTCAGTCTGACTGCCGGACTTTATTGACAACAGCACAGAAGCTAATAAAGCCAGGTGATGTGTCCAAGATCATCCTACAAACTCGTAGAAAAACATCGTTGTTTCTATAATGCTTCTATAACTAGAGAATAGTCCTGGGTGTTCTAGGGTGGAGAAGATCCTGAGTGAACCAATGGGGCTACTTCCCATCATGCTGTGAAATAAAATGACCATTTCCTAAAGATTAAAAGCTCTGTAAAATGTAACCTCTACTGAACAAGAAACAATCCCCAGAATCCCATTTTTTAAACCAGACATGCAAAATTAGGATATGAAAGGAAATAATCTAACATAGACTGTCTCCAAAATATGAAGGAGGAAGAAATGGGATATATCGGATTTGATTATTCAATTCTAAGAAAAGATGATCTCCAGCTGAGAGAAGAATGTCTCCAAATTTATAAATTAGTGTAGGTGGTTAATTATGAACTGCTTCCTGCCTCAGGGGAATGGGAAAGAGGATTTAGACTAGTCTCAGAACAGGGACAGCCTCCCACCAGTATTTGTACAGGGCCTTTCCCAGAATCACTGCCACCAGAGCTTCTCAAACATGTGGTCCATAAAGTCAGGACAATTTACAGATGAGTAAGTAGAGGCTTAGCATTATAAACAAAACCTGATCTGGGTCTCACAGTAAATAGTGCAAGGTCTTTTGACTTTGAATTCCACCTCTTTCTGGAACACCATGCCCTCCAGTAGGAGGTTTCTATTATTTCCTCTCTCAGAGATGCAAACTAGAATACACTGGTTTGAGTTTAGTTTTAGTTATATGACCTCTGAGAGGCCTTCATCTTTAGAAAACCAAAGAGAGAAGACTTGAACAAGGCACCTTCTTACGTCCCTGTCTCTGGATTTGGCAGATACAACAATGATCGGGTGTCTACTAGGCGTATTCATGACAACAGGGCTAATGAGCTTTCAAATTTTGCCAAGTTTGCCAAGAGTAGAAGCTTTCATCAGCACACAAACCCTCAGGGTCAGGAACTTTCCTTTTCAAACCAAGATTCCTAGTCACAGGAAGAAAACCTAAACTTCATTAAGCAAAATGAAATACATATACACAAAAAAGAAACTGGCAGACATCAAAAATTTACTAAGCCTTCTTGGATCACTAAGGTAAAATGCTATTAACTGTATTACTCCTCACCTTTTCTTCCCAACACAGAAGAAACTGAGCCCAAATAAAGAAATACAAGCACGATCTCAATATTCTCAAACACTCAAGGTTTCAAATTGTTCGGAATATAAAGGCAAAAGAAATGTCAAAAACCAAAGTATTTGCAGATGGGTCAGCAATAAATTTTTATCACAGACAAAGACCATATCAATTCCCTAGGGGCTGTCAAATTGGGCTGCTATACTCCAAAAATGGTTGTTTCTCATTCTAAGCTGCCAAGTTTAACTTCCTACTTTCCCCAAAACAACTAAAATCTAATAACTACAGATACTTCTAGCTCTTTGACCCAGAAAAGTTCACTTAACCTCTGTAAATTTCAATTATTCTCTAATGTGAAATGAAAGTAACACCAACAGTAAGGACTAAAAGAGAACATATATTACAGTGTTTCATAAGCCATAAAATTTTATATATTCCAAAACATTTTATAATCCCTACCTTGTAACAGACTTATATGATAGTGTTGTTCAGGATAGTGGCCTATGAGGTCACGGGGTTCGCTGTCCCGTCTTCAGTCTAGAGAGCTCACAAACTGCCCTGAATAAATGTACACACCAGGGCATGGCAGAAATCACAGAAGCTGGCAGAAATCACAGACAGCAGGTCTGTGGATCTGAGGATCACAACAAACCATGGCTGAGGTATAACTAAAAGAAGCCTCAGCCTCCAAAACTGAATACTAACAAATGGTGGATGCTGACATTACTTCTGGATGCAGGGAGAATAAATGGCTGTAAAGTTAATGCAGAGAAATTCTCAAGTCCTTTGCACTTTCCACTCGGTGTGAAGACCTCATTTCTTATCCTCCTCTTGTGAGAAGAGATACTGCTACAAGCCGTGGTAAATGTTTTTGTACCCTTTGTGGCCAAATTCCAGGCTGGGGAAAATCTGGTTACAAAATGGTCCAACCGCTGGAAATATACATAGTTTTTATCAAGACCTACTACCTATCTGTGAAAAGAAGAGAATAAACATTTGAGTGGACACCACACACATCTTTCTTCTCACCCTGTAAAAAGCATATGGCTTGGAGGAAAAAGTAAGCCTTCTGAATCAGACCCAATTAGCCACTCGTTAGCCAAGACTATGGTGAGGGTGTTAAAGGTGACCTACACAAAGCCCCGGCATATAGCAGGCACTCTCAATAACAGCTAATCGTCCCAAGTAATGATAGAGCTTTCTACTGGCTCTGAGATGAGGTCACGCTAACCCTCCTCATCTTCTCTCTCCATCTGTCATTAAGCCATGAATAACATATGTTGCTGATTAAAGTTGGAGGAGACACGACATGTGATCTTTAACCCAGAGGGACACGGATTAGTTTCTTGCTGATTTGTTTGTTCTTTTCTAAGCTGAATCTCCAACATAGTCGAAAGCACCAGAATAAGGGTACAAAAAAAAAAAAGAAAAGATCTCTTTTTAGCCTAAAGGCCAGTTCCCCCAGAAAGTCACCCTTTATGGAAGGAATTTTTCTAATTTAATTTTGGGTGCATTTTCAAGGACAGAAACAACACTGGGAAGTCAATAAAAGTTTTAGTCCAAAATTAAATAACCCATGACCCTTTAAAAATAAGGTTCTTTTAAAGCAATCTAAACATCATAGGTATTTCTGGCTACTTTCTTCCACACTTTTCTGAAGCAAATTTGACAAAGTTAAGTACTTCTAAAACTGACTCTGCAAACTCCTTTGTTCCTATTTGTTAATTCTCCAATCAGTTTTTTTTTTTTT